TTTATCCATCTGCAAAGTCCCTTTTGCCATGCAAGGTAACATATTCACGGATTCTGGGGATTAGGGCCTGGATATGTATCTCTGGGGGCCATGATCCAGCCTACTATGATGACAATGGCTGGCTGGGTGTAGTGGCTCACACCTGTAATCCCAGCACTTTGGGAGGCCTAGGTGAGAGGATTCCTTGAGCCCAGGAGTTCAAAACCAGCCTGTGCAACAAAGCGAGACCTTGTTTCTACAAATAATGATAACAGTAAAATAAATTAGCTGGGCATGGCGGTATACACCTGTAGTCTCAGCTATTCAGGAGGCTGAGATGGGAGGCTGTCTTGAGCCCCGGAGCTCGAGGGTGCAGTGAGCTGTGACTGCACCATTGCACTCCAGCCTGGGTGACAGAGCCAGGCCCTATTGCTAAAATAATAAGAGCTGAAAGTAAAGAGCTCATAGTCACCGCATGTTCACTGTATGCCCATACCCTCGGAGCTTCACGAGTGCTGATCGCAGCATTGGTGGTGCTATGAGAGAGAGATGTTATCATCATTCCCTTTCTCAGGTGAGAACTCTGAGGCTTAGTAACCAGCAGTGCCAGGGTTTGAATCCACGCTGTCGAGACCCTGAACCTATGCGACTAACCTCATGGCACCTGTAAGGCCGTGGTGGTCATCGGAGTCCCGAGTTGAGGGGAGTGCGGCCAGGCAGCTTCACGGGGAAACCTCACCATGAGCTTCCGACAGGCGCAGCCCAGCTGTCTCAGCACTGGTGGCGACCCTTCCTCATTGGCCCCTGGACACCTGCGGGCCGGGGAGGTGGGAGGCCCAGCCCCTGCCTCGCTCCAGCTTCGCTCAGTGTCTGCAGCTTTGTGGTCTCTGCTCCAGCCGACCGCTGCGTCTCACACAGCTCCATTACTGTCAGCCCCTCTGACTCGGGAGCGCTGCACCTCGTTAATGTATTATTTATTTTATTACCTTATTGTAGAAGTTGTTGTTTATAATTTGCTATTCTATATAATGGCCTTCTAATGCACACACTGCTAAATAATTAAAAAATGTCTTGCCGCCTCCTCGGGAGCCTAGTTCCTTCGCCCTGCTAACGAGGCCCACTGTTTAAGTCCAGTCTCTGGTGCTCCTTTCCTGTAGAGCATCCTGGTGAAGTGGGGGTCCCCAGATGTTTGCCAGACCAGGGTGGCCGGGGTTACTGGGAACTGGAATTGGGGTGCTGCCCATCCCTTCCACATGTAGGGCAGAGAACTTGTGAGATAGACTAGATCCTGGCCCCCAAAGATGCCCACCTCCTCACCCCAGGAACCTGTGAGTATGTCACCTTACATGGCAAAAGGGACTTTGCCAATGGGATTAAGTGAAAGATCTTGAGCTAGGAGGTGCTCCTGGATGATCTTGGGTGTGCCCTAAGTGTAATCCTCAGTGTCCTTGTAAGAGGGAGGATCAGAGGAGAGAGGAGAAGGCGCTATAATAACAGAGGCAGAGAGCGGTCTGATAGTCCCTGTTTGGCTTTGAAGATGTAAGAAGAGGCCACAAGCCAGGGAATCCAGGCAGCCTCTGCAAGGTGGGAAAGGCAGGAAATCAGTCTCCTGAGAGGCTCCGGAAGGAACCAGCATTTCTGGCCTTGATTTTCACCTTATAAGACCCAATCTCTGACTTCTAGAACTGTCAGAGAATGGATTTGTGTTATTGAAAGGCACTAAATGTGTCATGATTTATTATAGTCACAAGAGGAGACTAGCCCAGCATGTCACATGCGTCCACCAGATACAGAGCTCAGTGCAGGGCAGGCACCGAGGGAGGTCAGGCTCAGGTTTAGATTCCACAGGCAGAGGGCTGAAGGGAAGGCCACACAGTGGCTTGTGAACACGGACCACAGCACCCACTCTCACTGAGTCCAGCCTGGCAAAATCCAGACCAGATTCCCAAGCCTTGGCCAGACGGAGCTGGCAGGCAAAGAAAACCCACAGAAAACCCAGATCTTCACAGCGGCGAATGGGCTCCACGTCCTCTCCTGCTGAGCTTTCAGCGGGTGATACCTACAACCGCTTGTTCATAGTGGCATGCGTTTTACAGGGAGCAAAGTCCCCCATCCCAACCGCACTTGAGAGTTAGGCAGAACAGGTTTACAGTCCTAACAGACAAGAAAAGCAAGCCTTGGAGAGGTAAAAGAGCTCAGCGAGTTGGGAGCAAACCTGGGACCCCTGTACCCCGACTGCCGATTGGGAGACAGAGCTGAGTGTGCCTTGCTTGGATGCATTTTCTTTCCTCTTTCTGGGGGTGCTAATTCACCCTGCCAGGCAGCAGGAACAGAGCAGTCAAGGCTGAAAGGTCCAAACAGGTCCCTAATTTAATAATTGCTCCCTGAATAACTGATTGCTTGTCCTCATGAGCTATCTGTTGGGGGCAAATGTCTGTTCCTTTCCCATCTGGAATCCGGTCTCTGGTCAGCCAGTCAGTCACCAGCCAAGATTAAGTGTCCCCGACAGCACCACATGCCAGGCCCAGGAGAAAATGACACGTGCTGTGGTCTAGTTCCTGGCCCTGGGGACTCTGCGTCCACCCAGGTAGCCAGCCCAGAGCTGGGAAAGCCAGAATCAAGAAGCAGACACCATAAAGGTTTTTTTTTTGCCTCACTTTGTCCTGTCATCCCTCAGTTCATGGCTTATTTGGGGGAACAGACGGGAGGAGAGAACATGAAAGCAGACATAGTTTATGAAGAAAAGAGCCAGGGCCCTCCACTGCCCCTCCCCACCATGGCAACACAGTCGGTCTGTCGGGGAAGAGCCTCCCGTTCACTAATGGAATACTCCCCTTGAAAGTTATGATCCTGAATGCAAAACACAGGGCGAAGCTACTTCCCATAGCTGTGGGAAGCAGAAAAGTTCCTCTTTAAAGTTTCCTTTCTTGTTAAAGAATACGTGTGCTAATAACTCTTTGTCAAGCCCTATCCTCTGCAGCTGTTAGACATGCCATGCTTACCGGCACATAGTACAGTCTGTGTCCTTGTACTTTAACCAGTATCTCTGTGCTGAACACGCTCACAGGCATGTCCCAGCTCTCCACTGCTTCTACCTGTTTAGAAAAGTTTTAAGTTGTTAGCCAATTGGGTTTTAGTTTAGACTGTGAGGCCTGGCTCCAGCCGACGGAGATCAGACACAGCAGTAAGGACAACCCCAAATGTGTAAGGGATAAATTTGTGTGTATCCCTTTGTTCTTTGTCCTCTCGTGGCACGGTGGCTAGTAAGAGCACCTTTCCTGCAGTCCAGGAAGTAAAACTTGCGTTGCTGAAAGATCCTTTGTCTCAGTGCTGATTTTACTTTGCAGCACCAAGCATCTGTTTCTAACACATAGTAAGCCGATTGTGTTCCTGCCACAGAGCAAGGGTCCCACCTCTACCAGGGCGTCGCTGCCGTGGTGTGTGGTTGCCATATCCCTAGGGTTATATTATGGGTTTGCATCTATCCCAGCCTTCCTTGGCTCATCTAAGAACATGTACTGAGGACCTGCATGCTGCCAGGCCCAGCTGAGAACCACGCCCCTGACCGTGAAGGAGCTCAAGCTCTGCATGGGAAAACTGACAGCAGCAGACAGCAGCAGGATGAGTTCCCGTGCGAGGGTAGAGGGAAGCTCAAAGGGCTGGGGGCAGGAAGAGGACCCACACATCCAGAAAGGCTTCCTGGAAATGTGACCCTCGTCCCAGTCCTGAGAGTTGGAAGGTCGCTCTTTTTAATGAGAAACCCAGAAGTAAGAGAGGAAATAAAGCTTATTCAAGCACCCAGAAGAAATGCTTTCTGCCTGAATAAATGGACAACTCAACTCGCACTCTCAGACATCCGGGGCGGCCACATGGCATGAGCGAGCCAAGAATCTCAGCTTTTCTAACTACAGCGTGTGCTTACTCAAGCCTGGCTGCGACAAGCTTCAGCCGAACTTTGGGGACATGGCAATGGCCCACACCCTATCAGCTCCTACAGGAGTTATAAAGTAGGGTATTAGGAGTGGACCCCGGGCAGACAGGCACCCCGTCATTTGAAGCACTCCTTTCTTAAGTACTCTTCAGTAGGCACCTGCCACTTGTCAGCCCAGCGTTCCTTCTTTCAGGAGAAGAGCTGTGTCCAAGCTTGGGTCAGTTTTATAAGATGATGAGCTCCCTGGTGGCCATCATGATGATGGCAGCAGGAGTTAGCCTTAAAGACTGAGAGCCTTAAAGAGGCTTAGAGGTAGTGACTCTCAGCATCTGAGTTGGATCCACTTGGTCATATGCCATGACCAGACTTCCACACGGTCAAAGCCTCAACAATTTCTCTTTTATATAATAAAACAGTAATAATCACTACCACAGGCCTCACCTGCCCCAGCCCTTGGACATGGAGGAGGTTTTCTACCCAAGGGACTCTGATAGGAAATGCATGTCGGGAAGGGCATAATGTAGATGTCACTCCACCCTCACGCCAGCTCAGCTAGCGCTGATGGAGGGGCGGAGTGCTCTCCAAGCCCTGCACTGAACACCCCGAGAGGAGTGGCCCCCAGCAACTGGAAGGCCATTTCTCATGAAGCTACATCTTCCTGCAGGTGCTGTATCAACTGTTTCCAGGCTGAGTGACCTTCAGAAATACCCAGAGAAGGCTGGCAATCTTAATTCCTTAAAGGAAAAGATGAATGCCCGGTTTACCATCTCTGAGGTATTTTGAGTGAGGTGAAAAGCAGAAAGGAGCCTGTAGAGGTCTGGAGAATGGAGGTCGTGCCCCTTGCTGCTCCCTGAAGCTCCCAGGACAGAGCTGGACAGAGGGAGGCTGGCTCACCTCCACCGGCCCACAGGCCCTGCTGTACCTACATCTGAGCTCTCCCTGTGAAACTCCCAGCAACAAAGCAATGAAAAGTTTCCAGAAAGCCAGTGACAGGAGTGGGCTCTACATTCCTCTCCTGCATTCCGCTTCTCCTTCTGTAGACGGGCTGGGATTTACGCAGATGTGCAGATGCACAAAAGAAAAAAGGTACCTTGCTGTGCTGTCTATAACTGCTTCCCTCTTGCTCTCGAGTCCCAGGCCTGTGATAGCAGAAACCTTGACTGTGCCAGTTGAGGCTCCTCGGTGGTTGCCAGGTGAGACCTTAGCTTCTTGCTGGCTTCTGCTCCATCTTCCAGGGTCTTCCCCTCCTCCTTCCCATGATGGAATCTGTGGTGAAGGGGTCAGTGAGGTGCTGGGGGTGGGGAAATGTTGCCTGAGGCTCCCAATGACCTCCAGTTAGGGTGTGACGTACCCCATGGGATGCCAGATGACAGCCCTGGCCGCTTTTCTGTCCTGTAAGGAGAAGTGTGGCTGTCAGGTCTGTGGACACCCTGCTCCGGCACGCACTGGTCTTTGCAGCATTGGCCAGTACTCACTGGGTCTGGTTCCAGGGTCCCACACCACATGGCCTCCTCACTCCTGTCCTTATTTTAGCCACATCTGAAAAGATCTCTCTGCCACCTAAGTTACCATATTCACTGATTTCAGAGATTAGGATGTGGACATCTCCTAGAGCGGTGGAGATTATTCTGTTCACAGTGAGGGTGTCCGAGACACGTGAACCAGAACAACTCCATCTTGAATAGGAGCTGGGTAAAATGAGGCTAAAACCTCCTGGGCTGCATTACGAGGAGGCTAAGGGCATTCTAAGTCACAGGATGAGATAGGAGGTCAGCACAAGATGCAGGTCATAAAGACCTTGCTGATAAAACAGGTTGCAGTAAAGAAGCAGCTAAATCCCACCAAAACTAAGACGGCGACAAGAGTGACCCAGGGCCACCCTCACTGCTACACTCCCACCAGCGCATGACAGTTTACAAATGCCATGGCAACCTCAGGAAGTTACCCTATGTGGTCTAAAAAGGGGAGGCATGAATAATCCACCCCCTGTTTAGCATATCATCAAGAAATAACTATAAAAGGGCAGCCAGCAGCCCTCGGGGCTGCTCTGTCTGTGGAGCAGCCATTTTTCGATTCCTTTACTTTCTTAATAAACCTGTCTTCACTTTGCACTGCGCACAGGCCCTGAATTCTTTCTTGCACAAGATCTAAGAACCCTCTTGGGGTCTGGATCGGGACCCCTTTCCTGTAACAAGGAGACATGAAGAGTCTTGGCTGGGGGTATCGGGGAAGGCTCTGAGCCTATTATCACCGTGAATGAGCAAACATTCTGAGCATCATATAGTATTTAGCTTGGACTGCTGAAGCAGAGACCCAAGGTACCAAATCCTTGCCTAGATAGAACTGCAGTTCCCTCTCAGGTAAACAGCAGGGGCGAACCGTGCAGGGCTGGGAGGCAGCCTCACAGCATCGCGGGCCAGGCCCCTTCTGTCCTCTTGTTGTGCCCTCTTACTGCGTTTCCCTCAGCTGCACAGATTAAGGGGGCCCTCTGTCCGCCCAAATTCCAGCCAGCCTGCAGGGGCGGAAGTGTGTGTTTACTCTTTAAAGGCAGGACGGGGAAGTTAATCCTATAGATCCCCTCCCACTCCCACTGCTGCTCTTGGCCACACCTCGCTGCAAAGAAGGCAGAGAAATGCATTTCTCATTCTCAGTGTCCATGGGCATGGTTAAAAGTTCTGTGGCTATGTAGAATGGAATGAACAAGGGCAAGTGTCTTCCACTGGCACCTTCTAACCACATGGCACATGGCTGCATTGCTAGGGATACGCAGCAAGGGAGTCCCTGCCTTTGAAGAGCCCTCAGACCACCAGGGGATAGTTTGTTGTCACAGGTGCCCATGCAGCGTGCCATGGGAACCCCAAGGCTAGGCAACTGGCCAGTCCTGATGGAGGAGACCAAGGGTCGCAGTAAGTGTCCTAGGGAAGGTGGCATCTAGGCAGTCTCCAGGAGTCACCAGTCCTCCCTCGTCCTCTATGTCTCATAGGCCTGCAACTCAATGTCCCCAGTGTCCCCACCCCACTCTCCCTCTCTCCACTCGGAAGCATTTTGGCCCATGGCCACCTCTAGAGATTCTGTTCTGAGTCAAAAGAAGCACTTCTCTGAGTGTGCACATGCGTGTGGACATTCTTGGAACTCTTAGAACCCACCCCACCTCTCAACAAACAAACCATAGACCCCTAAAGAGGCTGGTTTCGGCCGGGCGCAGTGGCTCATGCCTGTAATCCCAGCACTTTGGGAGGCCAAGGCAGGAGGATCACTTGAGGTCAGGAGTTCCAGGACAGCCTTGCCAACATGGTGAAACCTTGTCTCTACTAAAAATACAAAATTAGATGGGTGTGGTGGTGCCCACCTGTAATTCCAGCTACTCAGGAGGCTGAGGCAGGAGAATCACTTGAACCTGGAAGGCAGAGGTTGCAGGCAGTGAGCCGAGATCGCACCACTGCACTTCAGCCTGGGCAACAGAGTGAGACTGTCTCAAAAAAAAAAAAAAAAAAAAAGGAGGCTGGTTTTGAAGCAAGACAGCAAAGGGAGCACCTTTATTAAAGCTATTCAATGAGCAAGACTTGCTTTCTTAAAGCACCACCTACTTTGAGGTCACCAAACTAGAAATATCCATCTTTGCTACTCTGAAAATGGGATTCTTCTGCTGAAATTAGCCAAGTATATAGTGCCCGCACTTTTGCATACACACACACACACACACACACTTGTGCCCAAACAGACAGTTTTTCAGAAATGAGGTTGCAGATGAGAGACTCAAGGACAGGCCTTACTTGCTCTCTGTCAGTTTACAAGAGAATTTATTCCACAAATTCATCCATGAATATTTAGCAAGGCAACAATAACATTCAATGACACCCATGAGATACACAACTCAGAGGGCCCTCTCCCAGGAACGTACACAATGCTTGATGTCAACGTTTTAACTGGACTGAACGTTTGAAATGCAAGCATTAGCTTACAATAATCCTCCCCCGCCCTCTCTCTGTCTCTGCCCCTTACTCTCTCTCTGTCTCTCTCTCTCTCTCTCTTTATTTGCATACACAGACATCCTTCCCATTTTGATCCAAACTGCCAAGCAAAGTCTTCAACAGAGTAGACCCGGCGGGGTGTGTGGAGAGCTACCAAAGGTTTAAGTGGTGCTGATGGCACAGATGAAGCTTCAGACAGACCACCCTCTCTTCTTTCTCAAGAAAAGCAAAACAAAATGGAAAAAACTCACAGCTATTAGGCAAAGCCATTCTGGGACTGGCTAACAAGGTTTACATTCAGTAAACCTGCAGACTTTTGACAGGCCACTGTGGAGCCCCAAAGTAGCCCCCAAAGACCTCAGCATCTGAGATACAGCAGTTCCAGGTCCCCATCCCTGGAACCTGTGTATGTTACCCTACATGGCAAAGGGACTTTGCAGGTGTGATTAAGTTAAGAATCTTGAGATGAGGGGATGATCTTGGATTACCCGGGTGGGCCCTAAATGTAATCATGAGAGTCCTTTTAAAATGAAGAGGGAGGCTTGGCTGAGAGAGAGACAGAGAGAGAGAGAGAGAGGCCAAAGGTCGCATGCTGATGGAAGCAGCGGTGCATTTGAGCAAAAGGCCATGAGCCAAGGATTGTAGGTGCCCACCGGAAACTGAAATGGGCAAGGAAACAGATTTTCCTCCAGAGCCTCAGAAGGAAGTGACCCCACCAACACCGTGACTTCGGCCCACTGAGATCAATTTTGGACTACATTTCTTACAGTTCTTGCCTCTAGAACTGTAAGAAAATAAACTTTGTTCTCTTAAGTCACGAAGTTTGAGGAATTTTTACAGCAGCAACAGGAAACTCGTCCAGCCACATAGCTCCAGGGATGAGGCTCCTTCCCTCTGCAGGTGCACCAGGCTTCTTCTGACCGGCTCCATGGGCTCCAGCGTCAGTGGGGCCACTGGCAGCCATGCAAGCACCTGGGCTTTTGTGTTTATGTGTTTCTAAAAGTCCTCTGCTTTTCTAATAAAGTCCCACTGTCAGAAAATTAAAATGTCAAGAAAAACTGGAAGAACATAAAAAGAAAAAAAAGTAAGACAAAAGAATACAAAACAAAACCAAAATAATGACAGTCAGCTATAATCCCACCTCTAGAAATAGCCTTCATAATAGTAATAATCACAATTTGTAATTACAGGTTTAATATTTTTATTATTTAATTTAATTTATTTTTTTAGAGACAGAGTCTTGTTCTGTCGCCCAGGCTGCACTGCAGTGGCACAACCTCGGGTCACTGCAACCTCCACATCCTGGACTCAAGCAATTCTCCTGCCTCAGCCTCCCGAGTAGCTGGGATTACAGACACCTGCCACCACGCCCAGCTAATTTTTGTAATTTTAGTAGAGGTGGGGTTTCATCATGTTGGCCAGGCTGGTCTTGAACTTCTGACCTCAGGTGATCCACCCACCTCAGCCTCCCTAAGTGCTGGGATTACAGGTGTGAGCTACCATGCCCAGCCAATGATTATTTGTAAAATAATGTCATTTTGCCCATCGTTTTCCCAGACAGTAGGGCCCAGGAAGGTAGGAACCCACTCCAGCGAAGAGCTCCGCGTCTGAGATACAGCAGTGTCTGCAAACGCACTGTGTGACCGCTGAATGAATGACCTCTGCTGACATTTTGGCCTATTTCTTTCCAGTCTTTTTCCTATGCATAACGCATATGTTTATGATTGCAATTGTTCTATGACCATGTATTTTTGCCCTACCTTCCTCACTTAGTACTTTATTCGGAGTATGTTCTAAAGTCATTAAACAGTCTTCAGAACTTTATTTTAATGGCAGACTAATAGTCCATACTATAGATGTTTCTTTGTGAGGCTACATTCTCTTTTTTCCCTTTTTTTCTGTTATAAATAATTCAGTAATGAACATCTTGGTGCATAAATCTTTATGCACATTTCCGATTATTTTCTTGGGGTCAATTCTTAGGAGGGATATTAGAGAAACAAACCACGTCATCATGTTTAAGACTCGGGGTAGGGATCAGTGCATGCGTTTAAAGCAGCTCTGTTATCAAGAAGGGAAGCTGAGGGACGCAGGACTGCAGTGTACACAATTGCATGGTGAAGCTAATCTGCTCGGTTTTCATCTAAGCAGAGACCACTGGCTGGGTGACAGGAGGCCTGAACTCTGGTCTGAGATTTGCCATTTCCTAGTCACGTTGAACTGAATGTCCTCATAATTCAAACAGGAAGTCCAGATGATAATGTTAAGCTCTCTTCTATCAAGAAAACTCTAGTG